AGAAAATTATTTCAAGCACTCAAAGAGATGAAAAAGTGTGTTATTATTTTAGATAATGTTTGGGATCATTTCTTTCTAAAGGACGTCGGATTTCCTATGTCAGATAATCAAATTAAATTGATTTTGACCACTCGTATAGGGGAAGTGTGTCAAGGTATTGACTGTGAGAGGGTAATAGAAGTGAAGCCTCTAGATGAAGAAGAAAGTTGGGCTTTGTTTGAAAAGTTTTTGGGATCCCATGAAGAATTGTCTTTGAAAGTGAAGGACATTGCACAACAAGTGGCACAACAATGCGGGGGTTTGCCCCTTGCTCTTGCTAGAATCGCCACAAGCATGAAGGGGAAAACGCAGGTTAGAGAATGGAGTCATATGTTGAAATGTCTTGTAAACTTGGGCAAAAGGCAATATGAAATGGACAAATGGGTATTTCCAATTTTGAGATCTAGCTATGATTTCTTAAATAACAAATTGCAAAGATTCTTCTTGTATTGTGTCTTGAGTACCAATGAACATTTTTTCAATGACGATGCTCATCATTTCCTAAGAAGGTTTGTTTATGAAAGCATTGATGAGACAATAGAGTTCAGTGTGCAGTATGACGAAGGTTACGACATGTGGCATAAATTAAAGAATCACAGCATGTTTTATTATGATGGTGGTGGTTGTTTTGGCAAATGGAGGATGAACAAACTTCTTAGAGTCCTGGCTACTGGTATTGCAGAAGACACTGGCAAAATTATGGGAAAAGCTTATAAGAATTTGACAGAAATACCAAGTGATGGCCAATGGAAAGAAGATCTACAGCAAGTTTTTCTAACGGGAAACAATATACAAACAATTCCAAATGGCACATGTCCTAAGTGTACTCAACTTTCGACGTTGCTTTTGAATTGTAATGAAAAACTCAACCACATCACGGATGAGTTTTTCAGCAACATGCCCGCTCTGAAAACACTCGATTTGTCTAAGACTGCGATCCAGCGTTTGCCCGAATCAGTGTCCAACTTAAAATGTCTCATTTCATTGTTACTTGCAAGTTGTAGAGAACTGTGGTACATTCCTTCATTAGGAAAATTGAAACGGTTAATATCACTGGATCTATCTTGTACTGCCATCGCTAAGGCACCTGAGGGTTTGGAATCATTGGTCAATCTTAGATGCCTGAATCTACTCGGGATTGTTAAGTTGGTAATATCACCATCACTCATATCCAAATTGATCAATTTAGAGTGCCTTGAGTTGGATCGGGCCCAATGCTTAGGGCCTGAATTATCATACAGTGCACAATGTTTGAACAAGTTGGAAGTTATAGGTGCCTACTTTGATGACATTACCATCTTCAGTGCCTTTGTGTGGTTCGTGGCCAACTATCGTGAAATCAGAAGCTATCGATTAACTTTAAACCGTGGCATGTCTAATTTTAGTGATGAAGATGATGATCAGAAAATAGACAGAGGATATTCTGTGAAAACGATAATTCTTGAGCGTACGAATTTCAAAAATGGAGAAACAGTACTACTCCCAACAGACATCAAGAAGTTGTTTATAATAGCATGTTTGCTAGGGACAGGTGGTAGATCCCTATGCAATATTTTATCATATGCCAACAACAATAATCCACCACAAATTGAACTGCGGAGAATTAGCGGCTGTGAAGATGTGGAGTGCTTGTGTTGTTGCTCTAGTAGTTGCCCCTTTTGTTCCTCTTCCCAACTCGTTGGACATCTATACCTCCGGGAAATGAACAACTTGAAAGATTTGGTGTCACCATCTGCTGATTCCTTGCATCAATCCACCCTATTTTCTCATCTCACACATCTCCAAATGTGGCGATGTAACAGCATGAAGGCTCTGATGCCGTTTAGGTTATTAGCACTCCTCCAAAACCTGCGCACCATTTGCGTTCGTTTTTGTGGGCAGATGAAAGAAATAGTTGGAGAGGATCATTCTGTAATGGAACTTGCTGCTAATGGCGACCTCATGGCCCTTCCTCATCCTACTATCATTCTTCCCAACTTGACATCTCTGGAATTAGACGACATGCCAGAATTAGATTTCGTATACAGAGGCATCATGCTTTGCCCTTCCCTCCAAAGATTCTATGCTCATCATTGCAAGAAACTAAATCCCCCTCAGATAGCGATCTCAAATAATGGAAGTGTGCTTCTGATGGAGGACTTATGTGGTGATTACTATTGGGGAAAGTGATTAATCAGGTCCATATCCGCCCCACTCTGACTTTCTTTTATATTATGTTTATGATGAATATCGTTACTGTCTCTGTTTATTTCGCCTCGTGCTTCAAACAATCATTCATATGTTTCCTTTTGTGTTCTTTATTTCTCTCCATTTGCCTGCGTTGTAGTTGATTTTTGTGATCATCACCAACCTTGCACGCTCATATCAGTTTCTGAATGCCTGCCAATAAAAAACAATTAATGTTCCAATAATTGGCATTTTTTTGGTTATAAATTATTACATCGGATATCATAAATAAATCTCTACAAAAGGAAGCCAACTTGTAAGATATATAACCTCATCATCTCTTAATTTTTTTTTTTTTTCACTTGAATGATCGAAGTGTGCACCAGCGCTACTACTCAATCCGGGATATTAATCATTATGAATATATCTCATCTCCTAAGTTGCTAATGATATTTTCAATTATTCACTCAGTTAAATATAGTTGCAAAGTTGTTTGTGACATGCGTCTTAATTATTCTAATTCTTTTTTGTAATGTCATACGCAGGATACGGTTTTTACTGCGTGGGACGCTGAAAGTGATCAGGCCTAGCATCTTTTAAGACATCATTTAAGAACTGCTTTTGATTCTGTATTTATATTGTCTGCTTCTATATTTGTTCAACTGCACTATTTTAAACGGTACATTTATGGTGAAACTAAGTTTGTAATGCAACTACTTGCTTGTTTTAACTAAACTATTTGTTGGAAGAATGACACGAAGACTTATTCAAGGGAATTATTTATATTGAACTCAAGTCGCATTGCATAGATAAATTTACATATAAACTCTGAATATGGGACTTGTTTATGAATAAAACCTTGCAAGTTCTACTAAAATACTCTCAAATATCTTAAAATCGGTTGTCCTCAGTTTCTATTTGTAGGACAACATTTTGGAGAGTAATATTTTTTCCTACTGATAAGATAAATTAGAAAATTCGAGAATTATTTAGTACTTTTTTTTTTATTAGTAGTGACCTAAGGGAGAAAATGTGGCTCATTATAAAGGTTCATATATCATAATTACAATGATTCCGTCTTTTTCTAATTTATCTCTTTACAAATTAACATAGCTTGATCTAATAGGTGCGCTAGTAGTTGACTGGGAAAACACATCTTTAATACTCTTGCGGTCCTTAATATAGGACTTAATTCTTCAGTTAATTTTGATTTTAAATATAAGACATATTTTTTATATTTGTCAATTTTTTTTAAATTATCCCTATAGATATTTTCTTAACTATAATTAAGTAAGTAAAAGGGAGGATTATCATTTTTATCATTTTAAAGACAGCAATTTATTTATTTTTTATTTTTTTATTATGTACTGTTATATTTAAAATGAAACCATTTATCAATTCTCGTTAAGTTGTCAACGTTTTGTTTAAGTGAAATTATTATAATTTTATATGCATTAGATTGTACATAATTTTCAACATTTATAAAAATAAGTATTCCAATTACAAATACAAATTGATTGTAAACTTTTAAAATTTTTATGTCACAAATTTACGAAAATGCACACGGCATATCTATCCTTCGAGATACTACATGTTAATTATGAATGCCAGCCATACAGAACAAATAAGTATTTCGTCATCATGCATCAAAAAGCTGACTTTGAGAAAAATATCATATTGGATTTGCAGTTGAATTATTTTAAAAATTGAGGTTTAAAATTTAATCAAACTTTTAAAAACAAAAACGAAAGATGCCATATGAATGGCAACGGAAAGAAAGAAACAGAATTCATCTCTTTTGAGAATAACGTTGTGACAACAACTAACGATTAATTATAATTATAAATGGATAAGTAGTGTCTTATGTAAATAATATGTTTTATATAAAATTGGAAAACAGGTATGAGAAGATCCAAATTATTTATAGAAAACAGGCACACACCAGCACTCCACGTGTGACTCTATTTTCAGCAGGCCTGCATTATCTTCACTTTATATAGCAAACCAAATTATTTAATTCAACATAAGTCAACATGTTGAAAACGACAAATCAATCAGACATCGAAAGGCAATATTGGGTTCTTATCAGTTCCTATTTTAGTAGCTGCCGGCACCATGAGAGACAGAGATCTTTCTTCTTATCGCATGTTAAATGATTTCCAGAGTGTAAGTATATATTGCCATTGCTTGCTTGTGAAGTAGCAGAGTTAAGCTTGTGAATTGAAGGAAAAGAGATCTGAGATTGCAGCACACACGCACAGAGAGAGAGAGAGAGAGAGAGAGAGAAGGGAGATGAAAGGAAGTAAAGGTGGTGAAGTGAGAAGGATTCATATAGTGTACTTCCTCAGTTTGATGGGTCGTTCTGAAGAACCTCATCTCGTACGTATTCATCATCTGGCTCGTAACGGGGTCTATCTTCGAGGTGGCTTCATTTCCCTGTTTCTTTCACCGCATATTTGTTAGACTTAAGAAAGTTGCTCTCACTTTTGACCTCTGTATTTGGTACTTTGTTTCTCATTTGCACATGTCATAATTTGTTGATTCTCACCTCTAATGTTATATGCTTCCCTCTTCTGTCTTTTAATACTCTGTTTCTTAAAGGTTTTAGACTTGTCTTTATAACATGAAAAACCACATTATTAAGCGTTTTATTCGTATGTTAAGATTTAGCTTAAACAAAGAGACAACAATGGCATGAATTACGGTTGTGGTTTTTGAGATGGTGGGTTTACGAATTACAAGCTCCTCTGTCTTTGTGTGTAGTGCCCTCTTCTCGCTTTTAGAGGTCATGATTTATGAACTTTGTTTATGTGATCAAAGATGTGAAGAGATGGATTGGAGAAGTGAGAGGGAAGGATTTGACAGAGACACATGCATGGTCCTACAAGAGGTAGAATGAATGGCATCTTTATACTCTGTTTTTGATTTTGAATGAGTTGAGGTGTGTGATTTGTGGATTCAAATTTTAAGCAGGAGATACAAGACAGGTTACGTGTGGCAAGACTTGTTAGATGATGATCTCATTACTCCAATCTCTGATAATGAATACGTCCTTAAAGGATCTCAAACACACCCTGCCTCTTTTGGTATGTCCTTCAAATGAAATAGTGGAGTGTTGTCATTTGGTAATAATTTTCAAAATGAGTTATGTATGTATTTGTTGAGAAGCCTCTTTGATTATGCAGAAACTTTTATATTTGGTGAAAGGAAAACTTCCATGTTGAACAAGGAGATTCATGTTCAAGTACATGATAGAGAGGGCAAGCAGTTGAAGCAGAAGCAACCATTGATACCGGAAGAACTTCAACTTGAAAGATTTCCATATTTCAAACCAAATTCTCTAGATCAGGTACTATCAGAAATAAGCTCTGATAGGTCCACATTACCAGATGGAAGTGAATCTTGTAGAGTTAAACCAGACAAACTCGTGGACAAAGGCAAACACAACCCAGACACATCATTTTCAACTTCATTATCATCTTCTTCTTCATCATCATTATCTCCCTTGAAAGGAAGTAAGAGATTTTCAACAGGAGCTTCTGGTTTGTTTGCAACTTGATCACCTGTCGAGCCTGAGATCCAAACGACGACGTAGTAGTCATGCTGAACCAAGCTCATAAAACTGTTTCTAAGAACTCTAACACCCTCAATGATGGTAATGTTAACGCACAGATTCACAAACATGATAGGTTTGGAGGATCAGCTAGGAATCTTGGAAGTTGTTGGAATCCCCAGCAGGAGCATGATGAAGCCAGGTAAGTAAATAAGAAATTGGGCCCAGAATATTTCAAGTTACAAAATATGACAAAATCGAAGTTTTTCTTCATAACATGAGCTTTCATATTTGCAGAAAAGGCTGTGATGAGAAGAGCACAAACAAGAACAAGAAGCTAGGCGAGTTTCTGAATCAGATTTCTCACAAACCATTTGGAGGGTCAATTTTCTCTAGATGAGAGGAGGCAGAAAATACAAGAAAATACGTTGTAGGGAAGAAAAACAGGGCATGTTTGGAGCCAAAAAGCCCATCAGGGTGAAAGATCCATTTTGTTGGACCATCATATATAGATCATCAAGTACAAGATTTCAAGTTTCATTTAGTCATGCAATTTTTTAAAAAATGCCGAAATGATAATTCTTTTTGGCTTCATCAGATTCCACGAGCACTATCCAAATTAATGACTTATTTCATGTTATATGTTACTTGTTAATTAAACTAAATTAAGAATTCAATCTATCTTCGACCTCTACTTTTGATTTGTAGCTACAATTCTTCTGCCCGCCACCAATTTTGGGGCTGGGCTTTTTTAAAAAAATTAAAAATTAAATTCCAGTCATAATCTAAAATTTCATAACCTATATTAATTAATTCAACTTTTAAAAATCATTATATATACTATGGTTGTAGTCTTGTGGTCAAACTTTTTTTTGTGTTGAAGGAATTAATTCTCATCACCATGAGAGCGTTGAAGCTTAAGCTTACCTCCTCGACTTTTCCTAGCACTAATTAAGCAGAATTAATAGCTGCTTCTATATTCAGAACATTGATTCATCTCCTATCATCGTTTACCATTAATTTTTTATTTATAAAAAGACAGTTATATGTATCAGATAAAAAGATATTATAACACAGAGTGTATATAGGGACAAACATAAGAAGAGAATAAGTTCCTAAATTGAGGTTTGATGAGTCTTATTCATCTCCCAACTGAAGACAATTTGTCATTAATTCTTTGATGAGTCTTTTGAATTTGTATTTACATTAAAGACAAAGGTGCCAATGCCACAGCTTCTTGTCTTTGGTTGCGGGTGTATTTGGAATCACATTTGGAGACCCAAATTGACTTCCCAACTGGCAAAAAAGGTTTTTTGAATTTGGGGTGTGTTTGGAATCACAGTTTTGTAATCTAATTTATTTGTGCAAATGGGCTTCAGGGAGAAGCTCCCTTTTATTGCTTTCTCCGGTGTGTCCAAAAAAACGGTTGGAGCATTAATGGTAATTTAAAATTTTCACCTACTTATCATATATTCATTTTGGGTGTTTGCATGCGTTTATTTTCAGTTGGGAAGTCTGAAAAACGAGAATAACAGAGGCGCAGCTAGAAGTCTGAAAAATATTTTCAGTTGGGACCAACAAAGTAATTTATATATATCTATTAAATATATTTAATTTAGTATTTTAGTATTTTTTTCAATTTCTTCCTAACAATAAATTAAATTTCTTTATTTGTAATAATTTTATTTTCAATACTTTTTATAAAATTATCACATTATATATATAAATAATATTATATATGTATTACTTAATAAAATTCGTGTCCTTTTAAGTCATTTTGCATCTAAACTTACTTTTTTATTAATCATCCAAACAGGTTTTAGTTTCTCAAACAGAATTTTTTACAAAACTCAATCTTAATATAAATCACATTACACTATCTGACTTTTACTTAGGGTGTGTTTGGATGAAACAAAACCGTGGTTTGGAAAAGTGATTCTGGAGAATAGATTCTGGGAAGAATAGATTCTAGAAAGAATAGATTTTATGAAAAAGTGATTTTGAGAAGTGAGAGTGTTTGGATAGTTTTTATTAGAAGCACTTTTTATATATATAAATTACTAAAAAAAACATAAGTTAATATGATAATTACAGAAAAGATAGATTTTATGATATATTTTAATTTGAAGGAATAAAATTGTTAATAATATATTTTTTATTAACATAATTAATAATACATAAGATAATATAATTAATAAATAATTAATATGTATATATATTTATAAAATATAAGATTAAATATGTTTATAAAAAAATAACAAGATACATATCCTATAGGCTCTCACACTCTCCCTTTTTTCTCCAAAAGCAAAAAAATTTTGCTTTTTCCAAAACCATGGTTTTGGTTTTTGGGTGGGTGTTTGGGTGATTTAGTCCCCAAACCATGGTTTGAGGTGTCACCCAAACCATGGTTTGAGGTGTCACCCAAACACAGTCTTAATCTGACTTCTGTAAAAGTCAAATTAAAACAAAAGTTACTTCAACCACTACTAATCCAAATACATCCTGCAATTGGTAGATGCTATGGTCTTTTCCCCCTAGGCTTTTAATTAATAATAAAATGCACAAAATATTTTATTTAAAGTTTTCATTTATTGACACTAATGTTAAATTGTAAATTACCATAAATTGCATGGTGAGTATCTGTAAAGATAGTTTTTTTTGGGGGGGGGGGCTTAAGGGGTAGAAAAGGGTTCCTTGATTTTCATGATTTTTCATCTCTTCAAGACCAGAATTTAAAAATTGGTTTAGTTTCATCTCCAGAGGACCAGAAATGAGAAGAAAGGGGATTAAGAAAAAAAGAAGAGGGAAAAGTCAAAAGAAAGAAGTTTTACCTCTTTTATTTTTCTTCAATTAAAGTAACCCAATTTGATGGGCTAGCCTGCCTACTAGTAGCCCGTGACCAAACTAGGTGGGCTAGTTAGGCCCTTCTTGCAACAAAGTTTGCTTGTATTCCCAACTCTACACCTATCAATAAACAGTGGTTCTTGGGAGAGGAATTATGATGAGTTAAATATAAACAGGGATTGTGAGGGATTAGTCTCTTTGCTACATCTAATCTCTGTTGATTCTCGGTTTTGACTTTTCAATCCGTGTAAATTTATTCAATCCTGTTTTGGATCTTATAACACTTTACTCTGACTCATAATACTATATAACAGATGGTGTATAAAAAAATACACACAAAAATGCTTTTGCAAACCTTAACCTGCATTTTACTAACTAAATTTATAGGGAGCCAAACTAATAAAAAATGGATATTTATGAGACTTTCAATATGAATATCTCTAAATGTTTATTTTATACATATATATATATATATATTAGGTATACATTTTCCCTGCTTCATTATTTTTTACAGTTATGTCTATATTAAATAGGGATGGAATTAGAAAGTTATTAGATTTTAAAACAGAGTTAATAAATTTTAACATTTTTTATTTGATAAAATATGTTGAAAGTGCTTTATAAATAGGATTAAAAAAAGTAAAATAAATTATGAAATTCAGGTTAATCTTATCAATAACAGGGGCTACTATAATTTGGTCAGCACAAGATAACTCACTTGGCAAATAAAATCTAGTTAAGAATAATCTACTCTTTATCTTGCATATCTTGAGAAAAATTAATGTTTATTGTGATAATAAATATCTTGGTCATATGAAAAAACTTACGTAGATGAAAAGTTGAACGCATCCGATCAGTGTTCTGAATGTTTTGTTTATCAAGATTTAAGAATACTTCTGCATTTAGGCATCCATTAATTGATTAGATGGAATATTGAAAATACTACCCCTCCTCCTTAATATACAAGTTAAATAATTAATTTATGAACATTAAAAAAATTAATTAAGTTAATTCTTCGTAATAAATATGTATTATTGGTTTTCCTAAACTAAGAGATTTAATCATATGCATTAGAATTACTTCTTAATTGGAAGTTCCCTTAATATAAGCAATCAATAAGGATATTTTAGATAAGAAATTATAAATTTCATAGGCAAAGTGAATTAAGATATGATATCTTAGATTAAAGTGAGTCCGGTATGTAATTGTTATAATTTCTTCTATTTTTAATATAAGAGCTAATTTGACATTCAATTTGGTCTTAAATATAATATCCCAAATTACTTTATCTCTCATATTTATCCATATTTTCTCAAGGTAGTCCTTATGGTAACTGTCAATGTTAAAGGTTTCATCAAATGATAATTCTAACTAATATACATAATTAGCAAGGTATTTTGAAAAAGACAATGCTTATTTATTATAAATAACTAATTTAATTAATTTTTTTAATTTATTTAAATTAGTCAACTAATTTTTATATTGAAGATTAGATATACTATTTAGGACAAGAAATAATATAAAGAGAAAAGAAAAATGAAGAAAGAGTTAAAGTTTAACGCACATTGCCCAAAATAGGCTGTCCGCCGAACTGAAACTGACCACAACGACACTGCCATCTAACTAAAATTGATTCAACCAATTCCTTTGATTGAATTGACTACATTAAATTGATGAATAAATGAAAAATACTACTCCTCCTGTCCTTAATATAAGACCCATTTAACTAATTTGATTAGATTAAAAAAATTAGGTAAGTTAGTTAATTATAAAAAAAGTGACACATTTTTCCTAAAACACCGTAATCATCTTTCTTAATACCCCATCTCCCTCTTCTACTTGATTATGGTTGAGGGAGTATCCATAGGGGTAATTTAGAAAAATTAATAAATATGAGAAATGGGTCTTATATTTAGGACTAAAACCAACCTAAGAATTGGGTCTTATATTAAGGATCAGAGGAGTAGTATTTAGAAACCGAATTTCATTATTTATTTATTTTGCGTTCAACCCATCAGTTTTGACATTATATTACATATTATCTTCTCAAACGTGTATTCATTTTTAAACAATATATTGGATTGCGGAGGTAGGAAAACTATTAATTGATTTAATTCCAAGAATAAGTGATGTTTTTTCATTAGTATTTTTTACACACT